GTAACGACCTGTTGCTGTTGAGACTGTGACTGTTTAAACGTAGTCATCAGTTCTAGCATTTGATCACCCTGGGTTTTAAGTTGCGAGCGTAGTAACTCGTTTTGTTCCGCCATCATGGCCAGTAATTGTGTTTGCGTGTCCGGAGCAGTCATCCTCGTGAATACGGTACGGTATAGCGTGCACGGTAACTATGTAGAATCAGGTAGGTAGCCTAAGTCCTGGGCTTAGCGAAAAATCTTTGAACAGTACTCACGTTAAATTATGAAAATAAACGTCCTCGTCGCCACTGTTATGTTCTTGGAAGGTTTAGAACAATAAATAAATAACACACATAGGTTTTAAACAGCGTGAGCTACTTTAATTCCGGAACTCAAACAACACAAACAAAAACACAGCAAACTTTCTGTATTGTAAGATGGTCGTCCACGACGATGCACCGATAGGTGGCGCACTAACAGTTAACTTAATTCTCAGTGCACAACAACTATGTAACTAAATTTTGAAAACACTCTAAAATTGTATTCAAATTTATTGGAGTTAAAATTTCTCTGATACAATATGAAACAATAGCAATCGTTAATAAAACAGTAAAAATCATGCTGAAAAAAAATATGTATAGTCAAGCATCGTTAAAAACCAAAATAAATAAAATCAATACTAAGTCTAAAACATGCAAAATAAATAAATAAATAAGTAAATATAAAAAGGAACCGGCCCGTGCGAATAACCTCTTAATGTGTACATTGGCGTTCCATACGCTGTTAATCGCTACCAACGTGTCTGGCCTCGGCAATCATGAATTTCTTGATTTAATACATGCTCGGTAAAGGTAATTATGTAGTCTAACCCGTAAGCTTGGCGTTCATAATATAGTTTAATATGATTACTATCTAATATACAATACAGTTTGCAAAATGTTCTATTATAGTAAAAATATCATTCATCAAACTTGGGTACGGGTTAGTGTACGGTGTGTATGGTTTGACCAAAGATGGGTACGGGTTGACCAAAATTCTGGGTACGGGTTGACCAAAATTTGGGTACGGTTTGTGGGTACGGTTTGACTGTAGGCCTATACTACGCATTTCCTACGAATCGGTATACTTCTTGGGTAACAGGGAAATAAACCAAGACAGCAATAACCAAAACGGCAATAACCAAAATGGCAATGAACCAAAACGGCAATGACAAGTACCAAAACAGCAACAGACCAAAACCTAGAACAATGTCAAATAGGAGCGAAATCATCGCCAAGACTAGCAAGCGCCACAGGGCGTGGGCCGCAGTTTATAATTTTTTGAATCATTTTGAAATTGTCCCGATAGGCAAATCGAATATTATCATGGGCTCTTTTTCCTACTTTCAATGTTCAATGTTTAATATAATATTTTGAAATTTTTTAACTTTATGACATAAATTGTTTAGCCTCATTTTGTCTGTACTGTATTTGAAAGTTTTATTTGTTAAAATGTTTTACTGCTTTTATATTGTTCCCCCTCTCCATTTTTGTAAATATTGAATTTGCATGATTATTTTTATTATTATTATTATAAATAATAATAATAATTTTATTATTAATATTGTTATTGATATTACTGCTGCTGTTGTTATTTACCGTATTTAATCGTAGTAGGCTTACACTTTATGTTTTTATGTTTTCTTTATTTTTGTGAAGAGAATAAACTTTGAATTGAAAATTGTTTATTTTTTTGTGTTTTTACTTTTATAACATAAATTGTTCAGCATCGTTTTAATCTTGCCTTTTTGATTTATTGCCTTTTTGGTCTATTGCCATTCTGGTCGAAAAGTGTTGCTGTTCTAATTGATTGCCGTTTTGTCCAGAAACCGCTTCTTGAAGTGATGACAAAAAGCCCATGTGGTGCATAACCAACTGAAATAGGATTAAGCTTTGAGTCTGAATTCTTAACGACTAGTGCAACAGTGGCCACTGACACTTTTGTATTTTTTCTATTTTTTAAAATTTATTTTTATTATTTATTGAATCTCTTTAAACAAACTCATAAATCCACCGAGCGATCCTGAACCTTTTATTAAAGTAGTAACCTTGTTCCGCGGCAGAAAAAACTGGCAGAACACATTACTTTACCGATACCAGTGTGTAATTGCCAGAAACAGATCATTGTGAACTGGCTTAAATATATAATCAGTTAAGTTTATAGGAATCTGGTGGAATTTTGCTTTTGCCGATGTAACAATTGATCCTTGCTTTCCCTACACGATCTAAGAGTGCGTTCGGGCAGGTTTTTTGTGGAGTCTAACACGGTATAAATCCGGAAACGGCCATTTCCAGTTCTCGCCCGAACAGGTGTTAAAAGCGGACCACCTGCTGATATCCGAGTCTTGGAGGAGCAAAAGCAGCAGGGAGCATTTTTATCACTTAATCCCTTTTTGATTGCTCTTTAATTGTTTCAACATGCACCAGAAGTAAAGTATGTTTAAATTTTCATGGTCCCTGCTTCTTTTACAGCAATTCCAAAAAGGAAACTGAAAAGCTCAATAAAATAAATTACTTTTAGCCTAGAATCCAGATTGTTACCTTATTACATACGTCCGCCGCATGCATACGTGATCGTGGTACCACTGCTTAAAAATGGTAGTAAATTTCTGTTTTATACTATCTTTGCCAAACGAATGAAAGTTTATTCTGTGTTTATATGCCCAAAATTCACATCTATATAAAGCTTATTGTTGTAGCTTCTTCAGTAATTTCATTACTTTACTTTGAGACAACATTATGCAGTGTACCAACGCCAATGTACGTTCCTTATTAAAGCGTGGGGTGGCGCAAGGGGTCCAGGGAAACTTGATAAAACTCATCATTTGCATAGTACCTTAGGTCTTACGTCAGAGGTTAATGGTTTTTTAAAAAGCCGAGTTTTGCACGAACTGGTAGACCACCTGCAGATACAATACCGGTAAGAACCCTATGTAAATTTTTCCCATTCTCGCCCGAACACACCCTAAGTGTGGAAACACCCTAAAGTTTCTAGGGTTTAGTCAAGTTCAAGTTTATACAAAATCACATTCGCAGCTTCCTTAAGAAACTGAATTGTAATGATTTTAACATAAAAACACCAACAAATGTGAATATATATAAATATAAAATGTACATGAATAAAAAAATTACATAAAAATTGAATGAGAATTACATTAACAAATTCTTACAAAAGTCCAAATTACAATTAAACTTCGTCACCTCCAATCGCATCTCATATGACATTTCTTTAGCATTATCATAACCAAGAATCATCCTTGTAGCATGGTGTTGTATCTTTTCTAGTTTATCTATATATTTAAACTTGTGAGGGGATCATACTTTGCTACAGAACTGAAGGTTGCTGCAGACGAGCAATATGTAAAGAACTCATCATAAACATTTTATAAAAGATAAAATATATTGGTTGATTTTTCCCTAAAATTCATAAAAATGAAGTGAATTTATCAGTAAAATGTGAATACAGGCCATATAAATTTCTTTTAATGAAATTATACCATCCAATGACTGTAATCAGTGACAGTTTCTCCACGACAATTTAAAAAAAAATAACATAGAGGGCGCTCTGTTTCTTGATCTTTACATAGAGGGCATTATATACACATATTTTTCTTGTCTCGTGCATCAGTAGCCAACAGAGCTCACCACTCCACCTTTGCGCCCCTCCCGACTCTCTGTGCCACTAGTACTAATGAATTGAATTATTTTCTTGGTAGGTACCAGCAAATGCATTTTATATTCTAGACTTCATTTCTCCAGAAGAAGAAAAATTTCTGGAGCACCAGGTATGCTCACTTAGTACTCAACAATTTAATTTTTTTTAGTCTTTGTATTTCAGAAATATCACATAATAAAATCATTAGGCCAACCAGCCCTCCTTAAACTAACGTTAGAATACCACACTTTCGGTGGTAAAGAACAATTAAAACCTCGTAAAAAAGGCAACTAATTCGTTTACCCATAATTGAATCCAAGGACACCAGTATTAAACACTCAGTACTTATCCTTGATAATGTGTTAATCCAATTAATATAGCGAGATAACGTAACGTTAATTTATTGAGGGTGGGTTGAGCTAATGCATTGCTTAATTTTCAAAATGTTCTTGTGAAGTATGGCCAAAAATTAATCTTTCTGGATCCAGTAACTTTCATATTTAATTTAATATTTAACTTTTAATTTATATTTAATATAAATATTGGGTTTTTTTCCCTCATATTTTAAGTACTTATTTCATTTAAAAAAAACAATTCATACATTAGCCCTGGTCCATTATTGCTCATTTAAGGACTGGTAATACAGTAATATTATAAATCTACATGTTATTAGTACCAACAATGAAGATAATGTTGGTACTAAAACATGTAGTAGTTATTAGTACCAACACTGGCTCCATTGTTGGTATTAATAACATGTAGTATGAACAATAGGCAATGCTGGAGGCATCTGTTTCATTAAAAGGCCTCAGAATATATAAAAGCTTTCCATCTATAAGCGTGCCAGGCTATGAACTTTGCACCCAAACCTAGCTACGCTACTGAATATGTTGAACTGAATTAATATTCCAAAGATTGCATGTTACTATGTGTTAAATATCCTGGACTCAAATCACAAGAATAAATATTATATACAGTATATCCAAATGCTAGGTTTAGTAAATCCAATTTAGTAGTTTTGTTGTACACCTCGACTGACCAAGAATTCCACAAAAGCTCACATTATATCCAACTGCAATATGACAGGTGTTTTTGTTAATATTCTACCATAGAGGTATAATAAGAATACTAGAGTGCTAACTGCAATGTATTCTATGTTCGAAATACGCAGTGTGTGTGTACAATCCAAGATTCAGCCAATCAAAATTTGCCCAAGCTTCATCGTTTTCAATGGCACTATCAATTTACACATGAATGTTGAGTACCACTGTTGAAACTCAAGCGTTGCGGTGTATGGGTGTAATGTACACGATTTCAATTTTGATTCCTCAGGACTTTATTTTTAAGATACTCCACTTGGCCTCTTTTTGGGTGCAATAGTTTAATAACTTATTAATATTAATAATAATAATAATTAATGAAATAAGGGCTTATTTATGACTATAGTATGTATAAGGTGGCACTTTCCTACGGCGGCCCTCTTGGATGGTACACATACATAACTCTGCATTGCTTCATCGCCTTGTCAGCACTCTAGTTGTTTAAAAGCTCTATGTCTACAAACTGTAAAGTATAGAGGGGCACATTATTACATCAGTACCTATACATTCAATGGAAGAATGTTTATGCTCCACAGGTTTATTATGGAACGCCAAAGCCGCAGTGGACAACTTTGTTGAACAGACGGTTACAGCAGTGGGGTAATTTTTCACAGAAAACATTCTTTATAATTTCATTTCATTTATTTAGTAGAAAAAAACAAAACTGACAGACAAAATAACAGAGGGGAAAAGATACTCAATAATTGGCCGGACTGGATTGCCAAAGAGTGAACTAAATCACTGTCTAGTGGCTCTCCGATGCCAATGAGAACATAGATAAGCATAAATTAGTCAAGACAAATTTCATTGAAACCCTGTTATTTAAATTCTTATTTTGTCATTATGTTTATTATACCAGGAACTAGGTTAATTAATTCATTGTTCTTTATATACACAGAACAATTGAAAAAAATTTAACATAAAATACTGCTTACTGGTCCCTTGACCGGGTGTGGTCGTAGGGTCGCATTAAAATAGAGACAATATAAATAGTCAGATAAAAAAACGTGTGCCACTGACCATGAGAATTAACTTTATTAAAATGCCTGCAGCGGCAAACGTTATCTGTACACTATATATAGCAGGCCCAGCAACAGTGGTCTGGAGCAAAAAAACAAAAGAAAAAATTTTTTTACATTGATCGCGTACTATTTCCAGGCATGATATATATCAGCCAATGTGTGAGAAACTGATGACAGAAATAATTTTCTTTATTATTTACATAATCAATCTTTGTTTTTTCTTTCCAGGAGGAAATCCACATCCTAAAGGTATGGTTCGAGAGAAAATACCTCAGGTACCTAAAACTCTGTTCAAATCTTGATTTGCTGGATTATACACTTCTTCATTATGTCCAATAGGAGTTCCGCCATTTACATGGTACATGAAAATGTGCTTATTATATGATTAATGTTCATATAATGTATCTGGTTAAATTCCTTGTGGAAGATTTGAATATCAAAACATAGACATTCATTCCCTAATCAATTTTGATCTCTAAGTGCAGGGGCGGCGCTAGCGGGTCGAGCAAGGCAAAGGACCCCTGTCAGGGACCTCTGGACTCCCTGTTTGGGACCCCCTGTCAGGGAATTTCATGAGGTTCTTCAGGGAAAAATCAAATCTGGAGTGCCAAAAGTACAATTCAAGCATGGATTACTAAGCTCTCAAATTTTAGGGATTAAAAACTGTTTAGTGCTATCAGTGCTACCGTATATGCAAGGCATTTGTGAGACTATTACAATCGTATGGGTCGCAGTGGTGGCATCTGCTCTTGTTAATTTTGCAAAACCATTCTCCATTTTTTTGTGAAGTCAACTGAAGTACAGTACTGTATTTGGTTACTTAAAAATTTATATTATATCCATGGTTGCATTATAATTGCTCATAAAAATCTATTATTTTAAATAATGCGTGTTATTTTGAATCAACATTTTTATGCATATGTAAAAGTGTACAAATTTGTCTACTCCCTCCCACCTAGCATACTGTTTGTACACTTGTGCTTCCTAACAAATCAGTCTCACCGTTCGGGCGTCACCTCCTTGTTGGGGAGCTTGGGCCACTCGTCAGGAAATTTCTAGCACCGCCCCTGTCTAAGTGATGTAAGATGAATGTTTCCAAACCAAGCATCTATTTGTTAAAGTTTATGTCTGTACATTGAATTAGCAAGTGAATCAAGCACCATTACAACAGTCATTGATGGTGACACTGTATATTATTATAAATTAAGTGGTGTGCCTAATCGGTGATGAAAGGGGCTCTTGCTCACCCTGGTATTTAGATGAGAGATTAAAATGGCTAAAATGTCAGTTTCCAGGGGCAACAGCCCTTTGGAGCCTCAAGAGAGGAAAGAGAACACCTTCACCCACTCCCTTGGAATCTGGATTCGCCACTGGTATTCTACAAAATATTGTTTGAAAGATTTCAGGTTATATGTTATTCATAACTGTTGACTCTGTGCCTCTTTGTTTTGTACTTCTTTTTTTATTATTTTTAAATATTCATATGCTTTTGTTATGTTACTGTGTTATTTTTCTTTTTATAAATGCACTGAGACGAAATTTTATTAAATGTAATTTGTTTACAGTGGTTAGAGAAATTTATGAAAAGAATCTCCTTACTGGGTGTTTTTGAGAAAGCACCGAATCATGTACTCATTAACGAATATGAACCGGGACAAGGTATTATGGTAAGTAACTGTCATAAAATTGATAGATAATGGTAAATAATGATAATGTTAAATATTGATAGATCTAATGAATAATGAAATCAGTTTCAAAGAAAATTGTGTAGTAAAATATAATTATTAGGAATGGTACCTCTAGGATACATTCATCAGGTAAAGCTGCCTGGCAGGCAGTGGTCAGGGGCGGATTTAGCTGGAAAAAAAAAAGAAAAAATTGATCGACCAAAACGCTTCAGAGGTTATTTTCGGGCGTCTAGAATACAAACATTTTGCGAGCATTCCCCCTGACCCCCTAGGGTAGAGTTATATCGATCGGTCCCACTTTCGGGTTCCCCTTTTGGACATCTCTGGATGCGCCCCAGGTGGTGGCAGTAAAAATTTGCTGACGGAGTCTGACATGTCTGGCAGGGAGACCATATTATTTGGGATTGGCAATCAAAATAACGTCATTTGGTAGGCAAATTATTATTTTTGGTCCAATGACCTTGGGTTCAGGCCTGTCTGATCGTGATGGCTTCCCTGACCCCCTGCTGGCACTACCATTGCTGATAAGGAGGTCTGACAATTTTCGGAGGCAGCTTGGTTAACAGACGAAGGCCTTGGCATATATAGAAACTGGGTAATTTTTTACTCTGCAAAAATTCTTCTTTTGAAGGACGGGACTATCTGACTAGGTGCAAGTACTGGAACTGCCACTGATTAATAGTAATCAAATACTTGACACGGATAAAAGTCCTTGTAGTAATGGTAATTAATGTAAATTAACATTTTTATATAATGTGTATACAATTTTTTTAGCCTCATGAAGATGGACCTTTATTCTACCCAGCGATATCAACAATCAATCTTGGGTCACACACCTTGTTGGACTTCTACCAGCATCAAGATAAACTTGCAAGTAGTAAACCTAACAATGGTTCAGTACAAGAAAGCAATACAACAACGGTAGTTATGTATTTGTATTAATATCTTTGTCATCTGTTAAGATAATTTATAAAAAAAACTTAAAAGCAATGAACAGTTGTAGCATTTTTCATGCAAACCCAGGACCCTGGGCTCAAATTAGTGATTTTCTCCCGCAATGTGTTCCTTTATATTATGAAGCAGTTTTGAATTAATTTTGTTCATTCAACAGCTGAAATAAACAGATTTTAAGAATAGGCACCTTGGCCATCGGCCGACACGATTCTATGAAGAACGGAACGCCATGACTAAAATTGCCTTTTCAAAGCAGTTTTCCCCAAAATTGGCAGCAAGACCAAACAAAATAAAAAAAATAGGAATAAATGAAATGAAATGCATGTTTATTGAGTTGAGTTTAAGAGTACAGTAACAATTGTATTTCATCAACTTTACATTTGAAAGTGTTTTTTTAAGTTTGAGAGTGGCATTTTACGACTATCCAGAGGTCCCTACTTAAAATCTCATTATTAGACAGCCCCTCCCCCTCTGATGTTACCCTTATCTCTCACTTGGCAGCAACCCCCATCAGAAAGCTTAGCTCCCCCTCCCCAGAAAAATATATCCTACAGCCGCCAATGCGTTACATGCATTATGGGGACATGTTTTTTTAGAGGTGCTTGCACCTCTTCGTATGTCCTCTGACTGGAATCCAATTTTTTTAATGTTTTGTTGTCTCCATTGTGAAGTTGAATAATTCATAAACCATTTTGTAAATTATATTTTATAGGTGGCAGTTACAGCAGAACCAGCAAAACAGCCAGATTTTTCTTTACTCCTTGAGCCAAGAAGTTTGTTAATACTTAATGAAGATATGTACACATCATATTTACATGGGATTGATGAAAGACTCCAAGATGAGATGACTGATAATATAAAGAACTTGATAGAAAATGGAAGAAAACCAGGTGAACTTTTACAGAGAACAAGAAGAATTTCACTTACAATAAGAAATGTTCCTAAAGTACTGCCAGTGCAGATACGACTTGGCAAGCGGTGACTTGTATGCAAATCCAATTAGGAGTTCTTGAATGGGCACCCTCTATTATCACCGTGATTGATGGGGTTCCCCACGCACATGTCATGTCCATGTCATGGTGCAGAATCTTTGGGAATACAGTACATAAAATTCCAATATTTTATATTTCTATCAGGTGAAGTGCACGGATCCCTGACGGAAGCCCCCAGCAATGGCGTTTCTGCTGAGGGAGAATAATCACTGTAAATGGATCGGTGTATACACAACAAAACACTTTAAAAGATGATAAGCTCTGGCTTGTGGGCATGAGCAGAAGATCCAAGCTCAGTGGCAGATTCAGGAATTCGAAATAGAGGGGGCCCAAGTAGGGACTTTCACAGATGGAATGCCTAGACCACTTCAGCCCCACCATAGTTGGGACTGAGGTAAGAAAATGTATGATATGGCACCTGTAGATGGTTTGACGTTCCAAGTGGAGAGATGAGCTTTCTAATTTTATTTTGCTGTTGGTAGCCATCAACAGCTGACTTTCAGGACACAATTGATAATACTTAGTAAAACATACAGTATATTTAATATAAGGGAGATTGGGAGGCTGTGTCTATTTCCGCAAAACTCCTCAAGTCTCGGGAGCCCTGCAAGCTAATATTACAGACATGATGTAGCAGGATGCGTTCTACATTAAACCATCTACAGTACCAGTGCAGATACTTTATATCTTACTTAATGTGTGATGATGTCATTTTGTGCAATCCAATTTTACATAAATGCATCAAGAATGGTGCACTTTTAATACAGTAGAGTATTTAAGGGGTTGGGTTACATTAAATATTTCAAGAAATTAATGGAAGATTTCTTCAATGTGTACTGTAGTCATTAGGCCAAATAAAATTAATTGCTAGTTTGATGTCTCGTGAAAAAATTTACTATCTGCTATTTTTCCAAAAAAAAACAAAAAAAAAACCAATTATCTGAAAGATTACATTACCAAGATTCATTTTACTTCTTCCATAAAAAAAAAACCAATTTGTATATCATTTACCTGCCTATTTACCACTAGTATGGGATAATCATAGAGGTATAATATGAATACTAGAGCGCTAACCGCAATGTATTCGATGTTCGAAATACGCAGAACTGTGTGTGTGTACCATCCAAGATGGCTACCATAGATTTAGCCAATCAAATTTCGCTAAGCGTGATCGTTTGCAAATGCGCCCTCAATTTACTCAGAAAGTTCAGTACAGCTAGTTACCTGTATGTTTGAAACTCGAGCATTGTGGTGTTTGGGTGTAATGTATACGATTTTAATTTTCATTCCTTAGTACTTTATTTTTGAATACGATGCTTCACTTGGCCTCGTTTTGGCTACAATAGTTTAATAATTTGTTATTACCATTACTCATTATCATTAATGAAATAATAGTCAGTCAGAGGGCTTATTAATATGTAATATGTATACTAAGCCTGAAGGTGGCGCTTTACTACGACGGCCATCTTGGATGGTACACATACATAACTCTGCATTGCTGCGCCATCTTGTCAGCACTCCAGTTGTTTAATAGCTCTATGGGGATAATAAATCCCCTTACAAAAAAATAATTTCAAATCCCGGACGTGAAACTAACAATTACAGTATTTGGCCTTAAATACTGTAATGGGGCTTGTCATGCCAAACACAGCATTAGTAAACCAAAAGCAAGAAAATTGACTTTTAATATTCAAATTCTCCACACTTTAAAATGATAGGCGATTTACTGTACTGTAATGAACTTACTATTGCCAAAGTTATAAGTAAAAATATTACGGCTTCTCTGTACTCAGTTTTGATCTTAATAATGAAATATTAAAAAATGTACTGTGCAGTATACAGTAGATGGCGAATTCTGTTTTGTGTCCAGATGTGTGTTCTTCAATTACATGTACAATTTTCATGTGCACCTTGTCTCTGTTCATGGTTTTTCAAAATAATTTTTTATCTGTAACATAATCAATGAGCCTAAAAATTGCCATGATGACCTCTGATATCTTATATTGATTTCATGTTTTTATTTAAATTAGGTAAAGTAAGTTAACACCAAGACAACAAAATTATATATTCACTGCTGCTTGTGCTTGCAAGTACTGAACACTAGTACAGATCTACAAAACCAAAAAATACATGTTTTTCAAGAGAATACTTTTATTTGAAATTCAAACTATAATTTCATTGACAAACAACAATGCATTGATAGCCATTCTGAATAAAATAACCACATATCTTGGCCACTTACATCGGTCAGTAACAACAGCAACACTCTATAAACTGATGTCAGGTTATTAATCATAATACAAATAAACTGCAACTTAACACACTTCAGATACAACAGAGAGTGTGAGTTAGTTTGTCATGGTAACAAGAAAACAAATATGCAAGGTCTCACCACAAAATATGTCACCAAGCTTTAGTGTACATCACCTTATAAGTTTCTCTTTGACATTCCTAGGATTTATAGACCCAGAAGTAAAATAGTTGTTTGGAAACTGAGTTTTGAGGAAATCAGCCTCAAATGTAAATCCATAAAAAACAATTCATAAAAATGGAAACACAAAAATGATGCACCTGATTTTGTGGTGAGACTTCACATACTGTATTTGTAATATGGACAGGGCACCATTAATGTAAAGTCCCTCACAGTCATGTGATTCAAAATGGGGACTTTTTACCCCCAAACTTTATTATAATATGGAGTACATATATTTTATTGAGATTTGGGTTTATTGTTGCAAAATACATTACAATTAGCTTTTGAGATAAACATGAAGCTACATCTGCATTGACAGAGATGAAGAGTTCAATATGTGGATAATTTCAACAAGCATGGCCGTAATATAGACCTGCTGCATTAAATCTGGTTGGGGAGTACAATATTATGAGATTTTCAAAAAAAATATTTGTAAAGGGTGAAGAAACTACTTAAACTCTCCACTGACACCTGTAATTATCAATAAAGCAACTTGCAAACTCTCTATTCAGTCAGAACGGTTTTATTTTGCATTAACATCAACTCTTCACTACATACTGTACTTATGTATCTGTAGGGTGACATGAATCTTAACTATATACATGTACATATATACTTCAAACATGTTATCTTTTACAATTTTCCCAGCCAAGAAATCATTGGCTAAATAGTAATTAATACAATTGATTTTTCAGAACAATATATAAGCCATGTATTTTGAGGTGATTTTTTTCTTTAAATTATTTGGACACAAGTTCACTTATTAACATGTACAGTATGCAAATATATGTATTTAATATAATGTTAGCATTGTCTCATTGTTATATATTGTTCTGAGTGTTCCTAACACATAAATATGTACGCACAGAAGTCTACTTTTCCACTAATCCACTAAAGGCACTACTGATAAGTAGACCAGAGATTTCCTACTACACAATACAATACTGTACATAAAAACAGCAAACAAGTCATTACAATCAAAGCAACATCAAAGACCTGCATTTATAGGAATGTACTGCTGTCACAATACTCTGTTCAATGATCTTAACAGGTTATAGGTGTGTATTGCTTTCACAATATGCGTCTTCTAAAACCTAACCATGTCACATGTATTTCCATGATAATGCATGTGTCCCCAAAATTTAGATGTCACAATCCATGTGACATAATATCTAGACATAATATCTAGACATGTGTCACAGGATGTATTACCTTTCCAATACATATGTTCCAAGATCTAGACTTGTGCATTGCTATCACCACTACATTCATCCAATTCTAGACATGTCCCAGATGGGCATTGCCATCCTAATACGTATCTAAGATACAGAGGTAGACTTGCACAGGAGTATTGCTGTCACAATACGCCTGATATAGATTAATTAGAGTAGTGCAATGCCATCCTGATACATCTGATCTAGATGCATCATACTGTATATCGTGCCATCCAAATACATCATATCAAAGACCATGATGATAACAGGAGTGCAGTGTCATCCCAAACACCTCTTATCAAAGAACAAGATATGTCACAGAAGTGCAGTGCCATCCCAAGTACCTCTTACTTATCAAAGAACAAGACATGTCACAGAAGTGCAGTGCCATCCCAGTTCCTCCTCAAACCAGGACATGTCACAGAGTACAGTGCTATCCCAATACCTCCTGAAACCTGGACATGTCACAGAGTACAGTGCCATCCCAATACCTCATAAGAAGAAAATGACACAGAATTGTAGAGTTATCCCAATACGTATTTATGAAAGACCATGACATGGCACATGACTGCCATGCTATTCCAATATCTCTTTAACAAGACATGTTACAGGAGTGCAATGCCATTTCAGAACCATCCTATTCAAGATCATGGGTGCAGCATTACCCTCATACACCCTATCCAAGGTCTACTTCATCCAAACATGAAGATTTCTTCTTAGATACCAAACATTTACTTCGATTAATTATTAATCATATATTCCAAATGCATAGACTAGCAAGATCAAACCCTGATGATACATGGCTCCACCTGAAATCTCATCTCAGTTTTCATTCTTTCCAAATGCACCAGCTTTTCACTCATTAGCACCGGATCATGCAAACACATACCTACAGTACAGTACTAAAAAAAAAAACTAACAAACACCATCTCTTGGTCCCATTTATCATAAAAAGAATACCACATATTATTTTCTCAAAATTAATTTAAATTGAAATGGGAAATATATCACAAAAGATCTAAAAGAAGATGGAAGGATAGAGCAGTCCAACCAAGTAGAAGAGATTTCTACTTGGGTGAGATTAGGTGTACAGTACAATAGTCATTTCATCAACAAAAATTTAAAAAGTACAACATAGCATAGTCAACATTTTTTTTAAAAAGGTGAATTCTTGTTACCTCAATCGTAAATATTTTTTTTTAATATTCTTTGAACATTCAGTAAGAACATTCATAACATGCAACATAAAAAAATACTTTACTATTAACATGAAGTAATACCACAATGACAACTTTCTTATAGAAAAATTATTAACTCATCAATAACATTGTAAGATTGAACTTTGTACTGATTTTTGGAGCAAGAAAAAAAACCCAATAATTTAATGCATTTTAAGCAAATGTTAATGTCTTTTGAATTAAGAATGAAGTTCACCATCAGCATCGTTCAGTGTTTTCATGAGAATACAGTAAAGCCAAGCACACACTGCACTCAACAATGGCGTAACACCTATGGGCTCTCGGGTGCCCCGGAGTGTGGGAAAATAAAGTTGATTTTATGGTTTATAGTCACAAGATATAATTGTATTCTTTAACAATACTGACATTGCTTTTGTGCAGTATTTTCAGCCTTCGTATTCATGTTTTTACTGTAGATTGGCGAAAACTTTGAAATTCATAGGCCTGAATATGTTTTCACCCAGGGCACAACGACTCAGCCTTACACCGCTGATGTGTGAATCTCTTTCTGCTATTTGTGACTGCTTAAGGATTTAATGCTGTTTGCTGACTGTTGGTGGCAGTCTCAGCAAATTGTTAATTAAAAACTATGCTTTGCACATTCCTTGTCGCATTGCATTTTCCATGGGGTAATGTCGGCCAACAACCGTCAGCGCAGTGTGTGCCCAGCTTAAAAGACAAATGGTAAAATCAATCATTCCTCTCATCCTATCTTGAAAAATTAATTGTTGCTTCTTATAGTTCAACTCCAAAACACACTGAATTGATTCAAATAATATCAAATGGTATTTTGTAATGTACAATTAATTCAAAACTTACAAAAAATGAACCAATATCGCGGCATCAATTCAAACAAAAAGGGCAAACAAAAGAGCCACCTGTACTTAAGAAACCTAACTTAATCTACTACATATTCCTGTTGTTCTTGTCTGATCTCTTCAACTGTATTCACACACATTTTAAATCATCTGACATCTTTTCAATCTTACCTTAGCCAGCCTGAAATCTGTATTTAGTTGCCTATGATACAATCTGGCTAGATTTAGTTGGGAATTCCAACAAAATTTAATGTGAATGAGTGCGACTATCAAGCATGCATTCCGGTCTCCTCCCCACCCTCCTCATTTAACTCACCCTCGTCGGGTACCCTCCGTAGAATAGAAGGTAACCATCCACTAAGTCCCTGCAAAAATGAAAAGTCCAAAACATTCTGATTGTCCTTTTAGTTCATACCTTTAATTTTCATGCTCAAACAAATTGGATGACTTTTTTCGAAAAAAAAAAAAAAAAAATGTAAATATGAATGAATGATTGGTTTTTTTAACAGAGCTTTTGCAAATTAAATTCCAAGGAGGGTGGAGGAGAGTTAGAAATAAGCTTCTAATATGGCGAAAAATTAAAGAAGTGAGAATGAGAATGACTCTATGACAAAGAAACCTATAAAGCCAGAAAAGAAGATACATAAACCTTCTAGCTTTGATGTATTTCAATGCAACAATGAAAATGGCAGGTTAAAAGACAGCTTCTAGTTCTATTTTAGTCTATAAGATATTTGTAATGATATACAGCTCTCTTAAGCTCCATCCAGATTATCAAATTTTAAAAAACAAACGGTTGTATGCCCATATATAGTCATGAGGCGTGTGTCCCGAAATCGTTTTAGCCGGTAATTTTACTGGTAAAAATAACCAGCCAAAAGCTAAAAATTTTGTGTATGTAAAATTAAAAACAATATTGACAGGCCTAGATAGTCTACTGTAGGCTAGCCATCTTTCAATAAAGGAACATTATTGCAGTCTAGAACTAGGCTATGTGTTGATTTTTCAACTTTTGATTATAGATAACATGGGCACTACTTTAGTTAGTTGGGCACCAGTTAAGTGTGTTTTGTAATAATCAATTAAAGTTAGCTAAATCTGGGATTTAAAACACCACTCAAAAGGAGCAACGCCTCACACTGCTCGCATAGCTGAATTGAAATGGACAAATTTACCAGCAAAAAAGTTTCAATGACCATATTTAGGCACTTCACATGTTTTTGTCAAATAAAATTTGATAGTCTGGACTGGTTTAAAACTAATATACACAAGAAAATAAAATTTAAAAAAAAATAGCTGAATTGTTTAATTTGTATAATTAAACAAAGTCATTGCATATACCCTTAAATTTCTGGCAGAATGTTAAAGGATTTTTAAAACAAACTATCTGCATATAATTGAAAACTGATTTTATTTTTTAACTTAATGATTCTTTATTAGTTTTTTAAAGGTCTTTTTCTTGAAATCTGATTGCAAAAAATAAATTTCAGTATATAATCATCATACCATTTTAATAGTCAAGAAATAAAAATTGTACTATACTTTTGTCACAGTATTTTTATTTCATAGTAGAAAAATATCAGTAGAATTGTTAGTAACTCATTGATTGCTGTTTGTGGTGAGATAAGCGAGGGCTAATGAAAATGGTGGCGGAACGCTTTTGAAAGTGGGGGCCAGTTGTTAAGGCCAAGTATGCGAGCGAAATGAGCATCTAGGCTGGGGGCAGGGGGCCACCAGTGGGGTAGGGCGGGGCCCCCTGGAAGCTACGGATATTTTACAAAATTTGGTGAATTTTATAAGTTATTATAGGCACCAAAGTATTGTAATATGACTTCATATTTGTTGTACTTCCAGTGGAGGATCCAGGAATTTGAAATAGAAGGGCCCAGAAGGGTACATTCACAGAAAGAAGATCTACACTACCTCAGCCCCACCATGGTTGGGGCTGAGGTGAGAAAATTTGTGATAATGGCACCTCTAGATGGCCGGAAATTGTACTTTCAGACATAAAATTTGAATATAATTATCTTTATATCTCCATTTTGTTTAACAACTTGGGGGGGGGGGCAAGGCCAGCTGGGTCCCCTTGAAGTCGCCACTGGTACTTTAGCAGATGGAGGATCTACACCACCTCAGCCCCACCATGGTTCGGACTGAGGTAAAGAAAATTTGTGATTATGGCACCTCTAGATGGCGGGAAATTACACTCTCAGTTTTAAAATTAGAATTGCTTCCACGCTCTCAATGAATTATTTATCATGAGGGTTATTCTTGATATGGGTTCCCCGACGAAAACTTCACTTTTCCCTCGATGGATAAAAATTACCCTTCTATGTAGCCCGGAAATGATACTCCAACCATGGTGGGTCCAAGAAGTCGAAATAGAGGGGACCCAGGGAGGGTTTTGTGCAAATAGAATGTCCACCCACCTCATCCCCACAACTGTTGGGGCTGAGGTAAGAAAAAATTTAAATTTATGACACCTCTAGATGGCCGGAAATGGCACTCTCAGATTAAAAGTTGAATACAAATTTTGTCTGTTTTCTCCAATTTTTTTTTAAATAATTTTGAAAAAATTAGGAGGTTTGGGGCCTGTGCTGACTGGGTTCGCCCTTGAATCTGCCACTGTTCAATATAACACTTGACATAGCCTATCATTTCGTAAAATGTAATTCCTAATGTCAAGCGGAAGATATCTTTATTCAAAAGATTTTTTTTACTTAATATTTACAACCTATAACACATTAACTACATTGCACTGTAAATTTTGTAGTTAACCTTCAGAGAACTTTATTTTTAAAAATGGCTTTAATTAATTATCTTACTGTTTTCATTAAATTAGGTGGAGTTTAAATGTGGTTATATTCCGCTAGTTTGAAGGTTTACTGTAAGCCAATCAGTTACACTACTATACATCTTCGTGTTTAGCATAAAGAGAACTAGAGCGTCACTCCATTAAGAGTGCCTACCTCCCCCCATATGCCTAAATACAGAATTTACGAAGCCAGGCAATTTTTTCTTCATGCTTTTGGGTGGCTTTCAAGGAAACTTTAGAGATGCGCGTATGCAGACGTCAATTAACATTTGGTTGCTCAACTCAAAAAGGAAACTTTTAGGCCTAATGCTCGTTAGAAAATGAAAAAAAATTTCTATATTTTATAATGATAATAATAGGTCAACTTATAAGACACAAATAAACAAGGTGTCTAAGCATCAAATAATAATAATAATAATAAAAATGATAATAATAAGTGGGTGGGCCAATTTACCCCCTGCCCCCACCCGCTTCCACCGCCGTTGGCTAATGGGTGGCGACGTCTTTGTGTGTAAAATAATGTTATGCATTGCGCAAAAGAGTGGCCGTGTCCATAGCCCATAAGCCACAGAACATTTACCAAGTTTGTATATTCATATATACAGGAAAGCACTTTATAACTAAATTTAATTTCAGGGGAAATGTAATTATTAAGAATGAACACGACTACATACATGACACATTAAGTGATAATACAAAGAAAGCAGTGCTTTATTACTTGAGTCAGATTTGAAAGCAAACATCTGATGATTTATTGTTGGTATGCAGTGAATCTTATCTACTTTGAGCAAGCAGGTACTTAAGTGAGACTACACACTATATGTCAACCTATAAAAGCATGGAGAACTCATTTTAAACAGTTATATAAGGATGATTTTTTGTAGAGTGAGCCAACAACAAAATTTGGCAGCAAGATTGCAAGAGTTTCTTTCAATGCCTGTATTTGTAACGTATGCCACGATCAACAAAAAGCAATACAATGTTATTAAATTAATAAATGCTCATTATGGAAGTTCAGAATATTTTTAAACTGCAAAAGATTACTGGAATGTGACTGTATATTAATAAAATTTTACTGTTTCTCTTTCTTTTAGATAAATATTAACAAACATACAATTATGTTCTTTGATACACTTCTACAATACCAGTTACATCAATACATACAATTAGGAAAAAATTGGAGAGTAAAATGCATAATTTGAGAGACTGAAATTGAATACAATAAATTTGTGTCTAAACAATAGAAAAAGAAGATTGATGGAATAAAATTATTTATACATTTATATTCGTATTCCTTCTTGAATACTCATCATGAGATATGGAGAACATCAATAATTAAAATAATTTTATAATTTACACAAATGAACAATTACTCATGTATATAAAATTAGCCTCGACAAATCAGTTCTCAAGGTGTACGTCTTGAGGTTAAACTTGTATAGAGTCTCATACGTAACTGTAGGCCCATATAACAGACATTCATTGTTTTATTCAGATTATATAATCTTATGTTTCATTTCCATTTATTACAGAATCTAAATTGTAAATGTTAATGGAAAACACTGCTAAGTAGACTCTCCATATATAAAATTATATCTATCTCAAAAAAAGAGATAAATTGAAAATAATACACAGCTGTATTATCTTTTCATCCTGGTTCATCGATGAAGAGCCTCATTTAGTCTTGCTCAATTTCAGGAATTATGACACTACTAAAAGGAGATATATATTTTTCTCTTGATACATATAGTTACATTTTCACAAGTTTATCTATAGACAGTCGAGATTGAAATGAATGCAACATACAGGATTTCACACAGTCACTATCTCAACATCTTAAATTTTAACAATCTCCTCTTATGTGGAGACATGTTGAATTTCTAGTCATAAACAACACAATCATTATTTCATACCGCTATGATGCAATTAACAACATTTATTAATTTATTAGCACAGACAAGGATTTTATTCTAGATATTTCCTACCTCTTCTTTCTTGTATGTAGGGTGTATACTCTGCATGATCTCTTCAATCTTTGCCCGTCTATTCACCACACACAAAAAAGAAACAAAAATAATAATTTTGTCACCTTTTGATGATCAATAATTTACAGACTTACACAGAATACTTGGCAATATAAAATTCTCACTATCTTGTTCCCATTTCAAAACAATTCCCAGGCACATGTTTTGGAAGACATAGTATTACAATGTTGATACAACAGTGTGCAAGTTTACAACGGAAACTGATACTGTAGTTTGTTGTATTATTTTTTTAGGTTACATTGTACTCCCATGTTTTCATTCCACTTTCCAGCTACATTTGAACTTGCTTAAGTTGAATCCAAAATGGCATTGTAAATTGTTTGACTTTGATAAAATTCGACTTACAGATGGTTAAGTGAAAACACAACAATGTGGCATGTAAAATAAGATCAACTTAGAAATTATTCGATTTTGGCGAAGTCGAATTAGGCAAGTTTAACTGTATTAACAAACATATCAAGTATTATTGATTATTACCTCCACCAAAATAGGCTCATGTATTCACCGCTGAACTAGATAACGAAAAAAACTAATGAATGTTTGGATCACCATAAAATTTAGTGAAATGGTACATAATATTGAAAGAAGTGGTTAAATTTTGGAAAGAAAATGTCAAAGAACAAGGTCAAAGTCACAAAAAAAAAAATTGATTCCCCCCCCCCACCTCGAGCATAAAAGAAAATAATGGAATGGTCCTTCACATTGTTTGGTATTCAGGCACAGGGCAGAAAGAAACAAAATCACCTATCATAGAGTACTACAGTGTTACGTCACGATACCACGTGATACTACAGCACTCCATATTGCCACGTGATACTACAGTACTCCATATTGTTCGGTATTCAGGCACAGGGCAGAGGTATGCACTTCATGAAGTGACTGCTCTACCCAATATTGTTATTATATCAGCATGATGATCAATTCATCATCATTGATACATATTACTTACTTGGCCTGCAGTCCACCTCCAGGGGGAAACTGACCAACGTCTTCCTCATTGATTACATGCAGTACATAAGGTATGTCAACTTCTTCCTTATTTGCAGACTTATCAAATATTTCTACGGACAAATATAAAAATTTCATAAAAGACCAAAGATTGAAATTTACTACCAAAAGGCCCCACAGCATGTAAAAAATATAATGCATGTAAAATATTTAAGAGCAAATACATTATAAACTACAAATCCAGGGATCTGTAAACTGTGTGCGAGCACAAAACTGGCAAACATTGCACAATTCACCAGAGGCATTTGTAAGAGGCATTTTTTTTTTTCTATATATTGTATGGATATCAACTGATGCTTAAAGAATTTTATGAAGATAGCTATTTATGGCACAAGGTTACATTTCCAGGCCTGTCCAAAGCATTGCACATCGGCAGATAACCATCTGATACTTGGTGCTGACAAGACAATTGCATTATGCAGGAACTTGCATTTTACACATTTAATTGCAAACAAGAAAATTAAGATTCTACCAACACAGATAACTTTTACAAATGTTTGCATTATTTGTTTGCTGTGTATTTGTTGGTGCTTTACACACACAAAATTTACATACTGAATTTTATTTGTTTGTTCTATAGTAAACATGGCCCTTTAATACACTGAATTTGAATGTGTCAATACATGAATGAGAATCTCAACATATCTTTTTAATACTTACCATAAGACATCTTGAATTTTGAATGTAATAGATGAGATCATTATCAGAAGAGTATTAAAGCATTGTTATGTATTAACATAAATAAAATAAATTTGATAAATGTAATAACAATTCTTCAAAAAATCTTGAAAGTGATCGTACAGTATGTCTAATTCTATTACCCAAGAAAACATAATAGAAATCTTACCTGTTATCTTTTTTTCTAACCAATCATCTAATTCTTTATCTTTTTGGATAGCTTCTTCAGATACTTCAGGGATGGCTTTCAAACTTATTATTGTTATGCTCATGTTGTCACGGCTACCCTGGAATGCAATGCCATTATCAAATCATTAATATCACTAAAATTTAAGAATTTCTATTGTTCCTTAATTATACAGTATAAGTGACCAAAAAATACACACACAATTATTTTACTTGGCAAATAAAATGACATTTAAAACACAAAAATAAAATTAGAGAATACTAAATAAATTAACAAGTTGAATTAAACAACGAAACTTATAATGCCAACTTCAATTTTATAAAAATCTGGGATTTAAAATAATGTAAGACTATTGTAAATAATCACCAAGCAAGTAAAGCGAAGCTATAAAAACAAATGTGTCAAAAATGTTAGATCAAATAATGGACGTTTCACAAGAAATTAAATCCAATGATGGCGATTAAACTTTATTGTATAGAAATGAATGCTACTGGCATCAAGCAGAGCCTTTTGTAGTCTGGCTCATCAATTAACTTTTAATTTTTTCCTTGTCAGATTTACAACTGACGTTTCCAGCTGCCCCGCCCACTAACACTGTCCCTGTCTGGTGACTAACAAATTTTGTTTGCATTTTTGTAGACTATGAAAACACTTACAGAACTCACATTGAAATGCCAACTGGCATGTATCAAAGATGCTGGAAGGAGTAATTTTTCTCACAGAAGTACAAAATATTTATAACAAAATATAACCATTAGTAGATGTTAATGAAGCTAAAGCTTTGTCCAAATTATTAAATTGTATGTGACAAATAACTGTGACATGTCAATATTTGGGTGTAATATGACATCATCATGCCTTATTTGGGTACACCACATCACACAGATTTATAACATAAAATTTGATAGAGTGGACAAAGAGTCAAAATGATTTTTATAAAATGTACGTTATAGGCCTATGGTATATATTAAACTTGTAATACTGTAACGTGTACAGTATATAAATGGCAAACATTCTTCCATATAAATGTACACTCATTTAGATTTTCTCCAGATTCAAGTCTTCTTTAAAAGATACAATGTCAGCCATCTCTCCAGGTAAACATAATCTGAAGGGCTTTACATGTGGAATGATGTCATTATTCTAAAAATAAGACAATCCACTGAATAGCAGTTTGACATTTCAGAGAAAGAACATCTGCTGTTTATTTCTATGGCATTTTAAAGAATTTATAAACTTATCATTTAATATTAACACATGCCACATATTACAGTAAATCTGCTGAAAGGTAGATCTTAAGACACAAAATTCAAATTCAAACACACAATTCTGATTCAACAAAACAATATGATCAAATAAATGGAAGAATGAAAGGGATAGGAAGGTGTACAGTAGAATACAAAATAAAATAAAACAAACTAAAATCAAATGATTCATCAATATCATAATATCATTGCTAGAGTGTTGGCTAACTGGGGACCTAGAGTCCTTGGGGCTACACTAGCAAATGAACATAATTGTAATCAAGCTGAAGACAGGGGATGTCAAGGGTTAAGCTGTGAAAGTGTGGCAATGATATCATAGGCTTGCTTTAAAATCAAATTCAAGAACCTTATTACCCATAAAAAATTTTAGTATATTTATTATTTTTAGATAATTTTTATAAATCTGAAAACAAACCACATTAACTGAAGTTTGCCTCGGTACTAATACTGGACTGTAGGCCTATCCTACAGAAAAAAATGTGAAAGTTGGTCAATGGTAAATAACAGAATAGCTTGTTTTCCGGGTGCCATGGTTTGTATCCTGGGTATTTACTACAGTACTAAATCATGGAGATTCTGTTTAGTCTCACAAAACCTTAATGTTTATATAAAGTGTGATGCGATAGATTAAAAAATATTATAAGAAATTATTGTACATAAAGTGATATGCTGTGTACAAATACTGTACAAGCAGAATGAATACAACAAATGTAACAATGAAAAACTATTATATTTATATGCAAAGATATTTATAATTATACATTACCTTAAATAAACAGGTATCCACAACTTGACTACAGATGTCTTTTAAGTCGTGTGATATTTGTAGTCGATTCAGTATATACTGACATGCATCTTCATTCTTCATAACATCCCAAATACCATCACAAGCTAAAACGATAAACTGATCCTCATCACTGCGTTCCCGCACAGTAACTGTTGGTTCAGGCGACACTAGTTGCTCAATGGCAGGCTTGTCGCGTACTAACTTGTAATCGTAATCCCCCAATGCCCGGGAAACCGCTAGTGATCCGTTGACTCTTTGTAAGTAAACTTGACCACCGGCTCTTACAATGCGTTCCATCTCTTCGGGATTCCCTGGCTTATGATCTTGAGTACTATAAACTGGTTGGCCATTTTGGCAGAGAACTCCCCTGGAATCACCACAGTTAATGAAAAAGTAGTGCGTTGGGGAGATTAGTACACCTACAGCTGTAGACCCACTTCTTTCATTTCCATGAACAGTTTCAGTCCAACTGCAGATTTTAGCATCAATATTTAGAAATCCTGTCCTTATACCTTTAACAATGTTGTCTATTGTTGGTTCCAGTTTTTCAACCGGTTGTTCAGTACCTTTAAAATCAGAGTTATTTAAAATTTCATCAAGCAGATGCTCTGCCGAATACCGTGCCACTTTAGGCCCCGCATGGCCGTCAAATATAGCAAAAAATGACCAATCATGCATGTTAAATGGCAAGCCGATCTTAACAGTATGTGCGTCTTCCATTTCCATACGCCATCCTTGCATGCTACAGATGCCATAGGATAGGCCATTCCCACTTCCGCTCGTGTTTTCTTTCTCAGTCTTTGGCTTCTCTAAGAATGACCCCATACTCACAGAAGTCAGTGATATTTGATAATTTTTTTTCTTTACTGTACCTGTTGTATGTACATGTTCTACTCAGAACTTTGTCATAACATGTACACTGTACACATGTAACACTCAGTGACTCGCTATGTGGCTGATGAGTGCCAATGAGGTCATCATATCCTGGTTTTCCGGATTTCACTGCAATTATAAAAAAAAAATGACCAGGAAGTTGTCCAGTCATAGAGGTACCGAGAAGCTCTGCATAATGTTACACAATATCAAAAAAAAAAAATTATAATTATTAAAAATCGATATAAAAAGGAAGCAATTAAATCAGTATATAATTGAATTTAATTTTTTTTTATATGAAACCATTAGGGTTTCACTATTAAGGTATTATTCTTAAAAAAATTTAAACCAATTGATGTCAGACATTTTCTTGATTTTTTTGTAAGTACTGTAGCAATACTCCCTACTTTACGCCCAATTTTACGTCAGTCTTATCTCAGGCAAAAAGCCCAGGGTATAATTTGAATTGAGTAACTGACTTTTAAAAACATCAAATATTGGCTTTGTATAAAGCATGCAGTGCAATTGCATTTTGACTAATAAGGAATTCCACAGGGTATAAGCTGCCCCCTCCCCCTTAAAATCAACCCAATTTTGTGTTCAATGGTGTGGGGACCTACAGTAATATACTGTACAGTTTAAAGGTAATGAATGTCCTCACAATACAAACAATTTCACTGGGACTGTGGATAAAAAATAACAGGTTGATGCCATACAGTTGTAAGGCTTCTAAAAGACTGAGTGTTACCTTCACCATGGAGAAATGATGGTCTATCTTAAATACTACAGTATACTATTGATTGCTTTACAATTAGGCTAAACACAAGGCCTCTGAGGTAACCAGTAACAGCATATATTCTAGATCAATTATATAACAAAAGACAATAAACTAGGGCCTTGTACGATGTTGAAAATCAAGGACAGGAAAAGATATTGAATGAAGAATAATAATAGATCTGAACACATACCACTGTAAAGAAAATCTTTACCGTTTTTTTTAATTTGAAATCTACAACAATCATGATACCAAAAAGTGTATGTTTCTATGTAAATCCAACCCTCAATATTCAGAAAAATGTGCATCAGCAATATCATCAAGTCTAACAAAACCAAGTCAAGACGAGTGGCGGAGCGGTAAGGCAGGGGCGCTGCTAGCTATGGCTTTAACATCGGCGCTGGTTCCAGCCGCTCCTCGCCCATGGTTTGGTTGGTAGAACCAAGTCTTCTCGGATAAGGACTTAAAATGGAGGTCCAGTGTATACATCTGGCTCGTGTGCACTGTAAAGAACCCATTGCATCTTTTGGAAGAGTAGGGGGTTACCCCGATATTATGGTTCATTTCAGCCCCTGTCATTGTGGAATGATGTAAATATGTAGCTACCATGAAGCGCCTCTTACGGCTGCTAGGTAGTCACAGACCACGCCCATACGCAATTCAGCACAATGACGTTGCAAGTTATGGGTTATTCTCCTACAGTACCTTCACCTTTACCTTATGTTGTAGTAAGGAGCCTGGAAAGGCTCTGGGATTGGCCTTTTGCAGCTGATGGATATTATCAAGACAACCAGTTGCTTTGAAGTAAATAAGATTTCCTACTTAACTTGGAGATTTATTGGTGGCAGTGGTTGGGATAAAGTTTTATTTATCCCAACTTATTTAATTCTATTTATTTATTTTTTTTTTTCAATTTTTCAATTGACAAAGGTCACATTAGAAATTTGCGAAAAAAAATAATGGCCACAAGGTAATAAAGTTTCCTCAAAATGCTCCATTCAGCAAATAGTTGCTGAGGGCTACAGTATGGCTCTATAACAGCAATTTATTCTTCTTCTACAGCATCAAGCTTCGTAAATTATAATATGATATGCCTATTCTATTAATGCAAGTGTATAAACCATTGCTGGGCCTGGGTCAGGTGACTCGAAAACAAAAATCTTGCTGTCGAGCCTAGGATTTGCAACAGCAGTGCAAGACCCTTTCTAAAGCAATTGCTGTCGGTGCTGTAGGGAAATTAGGACCCTGGCCCATTGCGAAGTTGAATTCTCTTGATGAAGAAATCTATTTTTTTCATCACAACTGAATAAGAAAAATAAGCATGTATCAGTCAGTGCATACACTGAACTGTTGTAAAGAGAGTCTCAAATGGGCTAAAGGTGCTCTCTCGTTTACTCACTACTACCCTACTTGCTACAAATTGAAGGCATTCGTTGTTTTGTCAATAATCAGCTTTTAAACTGTTTGAATGATTTGTTTGTGCCTGTCAAAACCATAATGGAAACATTAATGATAGTCACTTTACAGTAACTTAAACAAAATCTTATTTATATAAATATGGGCAACTTTTTTAGCTACTGGCCTAAAACTGAGATGTAAAGGATTTTTTTTTTTAGTCCCGAGCCAGAGTTCATTCATTCTGCCTGCATCATAAGACAGAAGATGACACAGTGCTGATGGAATTGCATTCTGAATTAAAATAGTATAAATAAGAATCTTTGTTCCATCATTTAAATAATAAATAGAAAAACACACTCTTCCAAAATTGCCCTATCATAATCCTATTTAAATGATAGCAAATATTTTTTCCTGAACCAAGCAAAAATTAATGAATGAACCTTCATACAGTATAATTTATTGTGGTCTATGTACCGTAAGGAATAGAAGCTGTCACACAAATTTTAAAATCCATGAATAAGAATCCAAAACATGAATGAACAGTCCTAAAATTTTTGAAAAGGCAACAACATTTTTGGGAAAAATCAAGTTCAAGCTCTTAAATATGTTTTTATTCTATTAATGGACAAGGTAGGGGTATGCATAAAAATGAGTGAGTACCTGCTCTGGTATTTATGTCGAACTAGATACTCCTTTTTTCCAATTGAAGTTGACGAAGTAAAGATTTGTATCTGTATAATAATCTCAATCTTGTAACATTGTGTACTGTAATATGCATATTATATTTAAGTGGTTTTCTCTTAGTTTTCATTTTCTACTTCACACACCTGATGAAGCTGGCATCGACTGCCAGTGACAGCTTCGATGGACAGTGTCACAATAAATTACATCTGCAAAGTTTACCTCAGAGTTCTGCCTTAATATTACAATCTTGTAAAATTAAAGTTGAAAAATTGAGATTCACACATTAAACACGTCATATTTTCATTGCGGATTTTTGGGCTCAGTACGGACTCCAAGAGTATGCATTTTCTTTTAGTTTTATAGCGTATGCGGATTTTATAAGTACGCAATGACGATATAATGTGTTATTATTCAAATCATTCATTTTCTAGCTATATAATTTAAAATGTCTACAACAGTAATAGTCTCAATGCTTCCTTTACGGTACCCAGTCAATGTGAGGGGTTCTCAAACCTAACCCCACTCGTTCCTACTGTACAGCTTGTGGTCAAAGGTTTACCTCTACTGACATCAAAATATAAAACTCGACATTGTAGGGCAAGGCTAAAGTTAGGCCAAGAGCTTGGGATTGATTGGGACAATTAACTTTATTTTAGGTTATAGGTAATCAAGCGGATTTTAAAATGGAATAGAACTAAGAGATATTTGTAAGAGCTTATTAAATTTTTTTTATTATTATTATTTAAAGGTTGGGGAATAAAAAAGATGCCATGACTTGAATCAGCCACAAAGGTCAAGCCATAATTTAATTTAATCAAATAAAACTTCAAGTTCAAACTATAAAAAAGGGAAGGTCAATGTGTTGCCGTAGTAAACTTTAGGCTCGGCTGAAAAAATAAACAACACTGTACATAAACACATTTCTATGCAAAGCATTAATTACGCTATATTATTTTCATTTACAACAAGCATAATAATTATGTGCTTGGTATACGTATCGTACCGTAAAAAGGTAGATGAAATAGCTCATACTCCAATACTACAATGCTGTGAATGCTACTGGCACTGCACAGCACTCTCCACTGCGCTGCGTACACGCAGGCGAGGCTGCTGTGCAAGTGATAATCTAGGCCTACAGCGAACAGCCCATAAACAGTCCACTTTAAGAATGCAATGTATTTCGAAATGTATCAAATCATGTGCTATAATTAAACCAACCCAGTAAATTACAACTTTCATGCTAAAAGGAGCCCAAATTAATTGAACTTACGAAAAACTAAACACCTTCTCCTGCCTGGTCCCAAACGTTGAAGCCGTCCAAATTCGTTTTCAAGCGATCTCATTGGTTAACCTTCATTTAGAAATACGTTATTGGCTAATACAAATGACGTCATCTTCTATTTCAAGACAGCTTACCAAAATAGATCATGCAATCAAAGATACGTACAGTGTTATCAATGAAAAGCTTCCTAACAATAGTTTACTGTAGCATAACCATGAAACAATGGCTTAACGTAAATCCTGGAAAAAATAACCGTTTTGTTAGTTGGCTGTGCCAGTCCCAGGTAATGTGAATTAATAGGACATCGCAATGACTTTGGGTAGCTTTTCGGGGGGAAACGCCTTTGTTTGCTCTCTGAGAGAACCACATTGGCCTAATCCAATTATCCTTTTGCAACGAAACCGGGCAAAGAATTGATTCGTATCAGAAACATAATAAATAACATCCTACAATAAATCGTTGTCAGTTGAGTGCTGTTGTCATTCAAATGACCTTAACTTTTAGTAAGAATGATTCTCACTAGAGCAATTTCTGACGCAAAAGCAAGAAACGCCGAATTCATAATCTAAAAAAAGTTGAAACAATTCTGATTCTCGCGGACTGACGGATCTCATCTACAGGAAATTTCTGTATGTAGCCAGTTACTCCGAAATTGGAGTGTCTGCGCCCGCCGCCAAAACTCCGGTTTCGTACTAGGCCTATGTGACCCGAGAAAACTCCGATTTTGGAGTTTTCGCGTATAATGAGTACGCAGAAACTCCGAAATCGGAGGTTTGATTGAAAGTTTGAAAACTCAGATTTTGGAGTTTTCGCGTATAGTATGCAATACCTCCAAAATCGGAGGGTTGATTAAACGTTTTTCTCTCTCTCTATAATATGAGAGACTTGTTTAATTAATAGTAGGCCTACCCAGAAATTCCGAAATCGGAGATTTGAATAAAAGTTATGAAAACTCCGATTTTGGAGTTTTCGCGTGTAATACGCAGCAAAACTTCCAAAATCGTAGTTTTGGCGGCGGGCGCAGACACTCAAAAAATGGACGTAACTACATACATGGTTTCTGAGTTTATGTCTTGCTAAATGAGCTTGCTTATTGTTGGCACGTTTATTTTATATTATATACAAACGAATCTGCAAGTGTGAGAAAAGATGCTCTAGGATTCGAGCCGGGACCCCATATGTTCAAGATTCAAGATTCAAGATAAATTTATTGTCACATATACAAAAAATATACATGAGATTTGCTTTCCTGTGCTTATACATTAAAAACAAAAACCACAAACACAAATATAAATATATCACAAAATAGCACCAAAAATCTTAACTAACTTAACTAAAGAGAAAGACAGTGGAATTGAGCTTAAACAGCAAAGGTACCTAAATAATACTGATTATCTGGAGAATTGACTATAGAGCTGACATGTGTGAGGTACGTATGAATGAATTCTTTAACCGATTTTTTTTTTTTAAAGAGTTTATCTGATTCTTCCTGATTTGTTAAAAGTTACGGTATGTATCCGAAAAGTGGGTGAGACTCATTCTGTAATATTTTATCTAGTTTCGTAAGGGCAGACTTATCACAAAGACTGCTTATACTTGGAAGCTCCATACCAATAATTTTTCCTGCCACTCTGGTTATTTTCTTAATTTGTTTACTATTTTTCTTTGTAAGGCTGCTGAACCATGGCAATACAACGGAAGCAGATAACTGATTTTATTACACTCTGATAGAAGAGAGAGTGTTTCCTAAATAAATGAAGACGTTGAGTTGACTTGGAATAAACACCTTGCGTGTGCTTATTCCAGTTTAATTTATCATCTATGATGATACCCAAATATTTATGTTCTGATGTTTTAGTTACACTTTCATTATTGACAATGAGTTGATCCATATCTGTATTGCTTCTCCTGAAATAAAAAATCATTTCCTTTGTTTTCTTAGCATTGATAACAAGAAGTTATTAGAGCACCAGTTAATAACATGGGAAACTTCATTTCTAAAGTAGATTCATCATTGTTTGTTATTAAACAATGCACATATCGTCTGCGAACTTAACTAATTTGCAAGAGGTGTGATGCATCATAAATTACAAGTATAGATTGAGAAAAGGAGAGGCGATAAAACGCAACCTTGAGGTGTGCCAGTGTTTGAGGAATAATGCTTCTGCAATTTAGAGAAAAGATTGAAAAATAACCGGAGTCGCCCAAGTCATCGCAATGATATAATTAGAGACATAATTCTTAATCATAACACTTTGAGACCTCATACTGATAAAGAAACTAATCCATAAACACAGATAAGGGTGAACATTTAAATTTCTTAATTTATCTACTAACACATGGGGTTGAATGGTGTTGAATGCAGAGCTGAAGTCCAGAAATAGAGTTTCAAACGCTTTTCAAATGGGCCACACTTATGGGGTTGGAAATTCAAATCCGACTAAAGCAACCTCTCCCACACTCTTTTGCGCATGCATGTATGAATTAACAGACTAGTTGCACTTTCAATAGTAGGGATCAATGTGAACGCCGTCATTTGAACAAGACGGCATCGAATTTTTTTAAATTAATCATTGTACAATAAAGAGAATATAACGATAAACCATTTTCGGAAATGCTATAATTATACTTAGACTTATAGGCCTACTATAGGCAACCTCAATGCTCGCAACCTGACCACTTCGTGGCTTCGGCCCTGTAAAAGTGTTAGATACGTTGTACAATAATTTCTTAACAAATCTCTTCAAAAATAAGTAATAACCTATCAGATAGGGTCTTTCAGAATAATGTGCAAGCTTCAAGGGGATTCCCCACCCAAGGCCAGTGGCGGCGCCCATCTCCAGCCGGCAAACTGAAGCGGCCTCTTACGAATCCGATCTCGATGACGAGCAGTGTGACCACTGCTTGGGTATTTACCCAAGATCTTAGGTATTTTGACTCTTCTTGGGTATTCCGTTCAAATCCTTGGGTATTTTATTTTTACTAATTAATTATTTAATATTTTTGACAAGAGGAAGAATTAAGAAGTAACAAAGTAATGTCAGTCCATTCAAGTAAGCAAAACTCAACGAAGTGCACATAACATTGTTAATTAATTGACTGTTAATTGCTATAAACATGGGTTCAGAATTTGTTTATTTGTGATTTGCGTTGCCATTGATCTTACCTAATTAATGCATTACATAACAAAACTTGATCACTGATCTACTGATAACACCGGCCGACTGAGGGCGTATTTTTCTATCTGTATTATCGCCTCATGAATATTAATTTTAATAATTAACACAAACAATTACAATAAAAAAATGGTTTATAAATTGAACTAAAAGGAAAACTATACATGCGAAAAACACGGTTTTTTCAAATTTTAATGCATTTTCAGGTAATTTTGGGCAATTTTTGCTGAATCTTGGGTAATTCGACCCAGTAATTGGGTGTATCAAAATTGTGAGTGATCACGCTGATGACGAGGATACAGAAGAAAACGATGCAGATGATGCATAAGGTTAAGGCCAAAGGACGAATGACTGTCTCTGATATGTTTTACGAATACAATTAATCCATCCAAAAGATAGATGACACATTGATCACCAACAAGGTTTTGCTAAACACCTGACACGTCTCTTTTGCAGGTTCTCTTATTTTCAAGAAGACACAGAACTCTGTGTAGGCCTATCAATCTATTCACAGTTGACGTTAATTTTTTGAACAGGTGAACCATCATTCCAAATAATGTTTAATATATCCTACAATAAAAACTAATTACTCTGAAGTTAAGTGTAAATCTAATTTTCAGCTGGCTTATATATATTACGCCTATTTGAAAAAAGACAAAGTGCATTCATGTATATAAAACAGAAACTTTTTCCAGATGAACTAAGACAGAGTAGCATGTTCTAATATGTTATAATTGAATTGATAACTTGGAAATGTTACTTTCCATTATTAGGGACGACTTTTATGAAATGCGGGTCAATTTATTTAACTTATTCTGTCTGTACTGTTGAATAAGTTAACTGTTTGTTACGGTATATCATAGTTGGCAACACAGCAAAGCATCACTGAATAAATCAATTAACTGAATTAAAAAAATATAGGCCTATGTGATCGATCGGGTATTTCATAGACAATTTCAAACTACATGAGTTGTAGATCGTATTTTCTGTGTGATTGGTGTTGTCTTATCGAATCTTCATATCCAGGGGTGGCGCCAGCGAGGGGCCGGGGGTCAGAGAGCTGCCCCTCTCTCCCCCACCCCCGTCAGGCAGGAAAAAAAACCACAACGTCGGGAGAAACACAAATTAAATGTATTTTCTCATATCAATAGACACCAAAATCGATTAAATATGCATTTGAAATCCTTAAATTGCCAAAATGGCCACTTCCGGAGCATTTTAAGCGACGCTCGACCACGCCCAATTTGCTTTCGTCGGAGTTTGTGCTATTCGTGTTACTCAGGACTTGCTGCAAGAGTTAGTTTTGTTAAAAGAAATTGAATAAATAACGTATATTTTATCTTATCATTGCAGCCAGCAGTGAGTTCAAAGGACAGCTACCGGTGATAACGATTTCCTTTCAGTGTTGCTAAAAATTACACTAGGTCTACGATATTTGAATATGACGTTCCTAATAATATACTATATGTTATTTTGTTTGATGTTTTTTGAAGATATTAGTGCCGATGAGTACCCGAAGTTCATATACCCTGATGTGTTTAACGACTCAAAAAGAGACGCGTTCCATTATGGCACCTTCCCAGAAGATTTCATATGGAGTACTGCTACGGCATCGTATCAAATCGAAGGGGCGTGGAACGAGGACGGGAAAGGACCAAGCATATGGGATACATATTCCCATGAGCCTGGAAACATCGATAATGGATACACAGGCGACGTGGCATGTGATAGCTACCACAAATACCAGGACGACATCGACAGTATGAAAGCTCTTGGCCTGAAGTATTACCGCTTCTCATTGTCATGGCCGAGGATTCTACCAAACGGGACCATCGATCATATTAATCAACCTGGAATAGATTATTATAATAATTTGATAAACGCACTAAGAGATGCTGGGATAAGTCCAATGGTGACGCTGTACCATTGGGACCTCCCACAGGCTCTTCAGGATCAAGGTGGTTGGAAGAATGACGAAATAATCGGACATTATAAGGATTATGCTAGACTTTGTTTTGAAGAATTTGGTGACCGTGTTGGGTTCTGGATAACCTTCAACGAACCATGGGTGACAACGATCTTAGGGCACGAATTTGCTTCGATGGCACCAGGAATCAGAGAACCAGGAACCACACCATACATCGTTGCTCACAACATTCTAAGATCTCACGCCGAAGCGTATCATGTTTATGATTACTCATTTAGATCGAAACAGAAGGGGAAAATCGGCATTACCTTGAATTCTGATTACTATCAGGCTGCGGATATGAATGATCCAGACACAATAGAAGCTGCAGAAAGAGCTCAGCAGTTTGTGATGGGATGGTTTGGACATCCAGTCTACAAGAACGGCGATTATCCAGAGGTCATGAAGGAAACCATCGCTAGGAAAAGTACACAGGAAGGACTCAGTGAATCACGCCTTCCAGAATTTACAGAGAACGAAAAGTCGTTTTTGGCAAAGACTGCAGACTTCTTTGGACTTAACTGTTATACTACCAGTTATGCAAGATCTATCAGGAACCCTGCAGGTCCACTTATCCCACCATCATGGTCCACTGATCAGGACGTTTTCAGTTGGAAAAGTCAGAATTGGCCGACATCTGGATCCGACTGGCTCCGCCCAGTGCCATGGGGTGTTCGACGACTTCTTAACTGGATAAAAAATGAATATGATGATCCTGTAATCTACATCACTGAAAATGGCATCTCAACTATCGACACAGCCAACCTGCATGACCAAATACGAATTGACTATTACAGTGCTTATTTAAGTGAAGTCTTAAAAGGTAGGCAGTGGCCGCAATAACACCAAAACCGTATTCTATATATACAATAACATCAAATCAGAATTAGAAATTCGTTTTTAATGGTGTAACCTGCTTCCTGCTAAAAGGTAAAATGTCAGGCTAATTAAAAGTGAATAGTCATCAACACTACATCAGTAATTACTTGGTCACATTATTGAAGGTTAATAAGGACCACAGAAATATCTGTCCATGATAACTGATATTTCTCTGTCGAGTTTGGTCTAAAAGCTTGAAATAGGCGACCTCAAAAAATCAAAAAATGGTTCCATTTTCTGCAGTAATAAACTTCGTAGGGTCAAAGGTAAATTATTTGACAGTCAAAATCTCTACTCAGATTGGTGCTATGACATTGAAATAATCTATGTTTTGATCTGAGTTTAATCTGTTAGTAACCCAAGAACAAACCGGATTATTAAAAGTATGTGTAATTCAAATACCTCCAATTTTAGGAAAACGTCGGAAAAAATCGTTGAAAATATGTAGAATACAGGTGAAATTTTAGTCAATAATATTTTAAGTGTTGATCATTAAATTTCATTTTATTTTTGTTTTTGTTTTATGCTTGATTACAAATTATTGAAAAATATACAAGTTCAAAATATGTTTTTTGTTCATTGTTTGAATAAATAGATGTGATTTTTTTTAGATGTAATTACAGTATTTTCCCTCATTTTATCCTCAGCTATTGATATTGATGAAGTGAATGTAAAGGGCTATACAGCTTGGTCTCTGATGGATAACTTTGAATGGTCTCGTGGCTACACAGAGAGATTTGGTCTTCATTACATTGACTTTGATAGCACCGAGAAGACTCGGATTCCCAAAGACTCGGCAGCTTTCTACGCTCAAGTAATTGCAGACAATGGGTTTCCAGCATCTAGTGTGCAGTCTGGATTTAATGCCGGATTTAGAACCATACTTTTAGCCATTTGCATAGTTTTTGCAATTATATAATTTTTCGTAACATAAAAAATGATACGATTGTATGCAACATTCAAGAGCGGTGCTGTTTAATGTTGTTTTGTCTGCTACAGGCATCTACATTTAAGATGATTCCACCATTTACATTGAATTTTTATGAAATGGAAATAAATGTTCTTTAATTAAATTACTATATAGTGCTAAAATGATACCATATACTGCATTGTACATAAACTATTAGGAGTTGGAGTGAAGCTGTATAGATTGGGGGTTATTGTGCTTGTTTTCTAATCCCTATGATTCTTATGAGACTTAGTATTTTTAGAGCACTACACATGTGCTTGTTGTCTCTGCACGGGATTGCTATACAAAACTGTGATTAATATCAGTATTGGCAGTCCTTAGCTAATATGCCTAAATAAATAAAATACATAAAAACTAAACATTCACTGATTGTTGCTACTATTTTAGTACAGTACTCATATTACTTGCACAATAATAAATGAGAACACGATTGCTTTGTTGTTGAATATAAATATATTCCAAGAGTTTAATTTTTCTATTTAATAAAACCTACAATTTTTCAGTTTAATGCAGTAAAAAAAACGCAAATATATTTATAATGAAAAAGTATGTATGAAAAAGGACTTGTGTTCAGTTTTAGTATAAAGAACATACCTTTTAATCATATTTCGTGTGTATAACACTCTGAAACGTTTGCGTAATATGTTAATATACAATTAATTTTATTATTAACATACTTAATATTACTTGGTACCATTACATTTTCCTATACCATTCTGGATTTAGAACTATTAATGAGGAACCAAATAAACAATTTATCTGAATAAATCTCATCTTAAAATTCTAGCACCATCAAATGATTTTTATTCTTGTGAATGTATACTGTAAATTTTGTTATGGTATAGCAATAAATATTACAAACAATGAAATGACACTTTGTATTAATACCCATTCTACGAATCCAGAAGTCGTTTGGCTGGGGAGGTGTGAGTGGCAATTAAGCACCTGAAGTCTGAAGGGGCAACACCTATGATTGAGAAAGGAAGGTTTTACATTAGTGTGTTTAATGTCAATTGTATTGTGGGTTCGGCTGTAGTCACAATCGCACTAGAGTTTTTCTTGTAAATCTAACCTAGGCACTGGTTAGTTACCATACTTAGTCCAGAGCGAACAGCCCAGAAAATTTACTTCACAGGAAAACTTACTGAGACAAGCGGTTAGTTTAACCAAGTGGATTGTGCCCAGTAAAACTGACCAGGTTAATTTTACTAAGCCAAAAAGTCCAATGCGAACACGAATCTCGGTTACACTTACCCAGTCTTTTGAGCGCTACTTATTGGAGATGTCAGGGATTAGTGTGCTCAATAGTTGATTTTCATGGCTCGGTTAGTTTTACCATTTCTTGCAGTAGAACTAACCACTCAAAAAATCCAAGTGCAGACAGCGGTAAGAATTACACATTAGAGTTTTACTAACAATTTAGGTAAAATCTGTTTTTCAGAGCAGTGTGATATTGCTGCTTATGGACGGCCCATGGAAGTTTTAATCTCTTATCTAAATAAGGTAAAGTGGAAAGGAGGGGGGGGGGCGGGGAACAACTGCTCCTTTTACCACCTCATGTATCTGCCCCCGATATGTCTTGTTTGAAATCCATAACCTTAATGTTCTCTGTCACTATCTTCCTTTGTATACACTGTCTTCTATTAGCTTTCTTCCACATCATATTTATCTCACCCATTCCATCTTAGGATTTTGATAACTTCCTTTCCACTGACGATCTGTAGAATGCAAAGATCTGTTCTGATGCTATGTGCTCTACAGACAATTACCATGACTTTACTTATAACTTCATAGAGGGTGCACTGGAATCAACATGTGTAACACAATGTGAACTCTAAAGAAAATATTCATTTACTATGAACTTACTAATTTCATAGAAACATACTCGAACTGATATGTGTTTAAAATTCAGTGCACTCAAAAACTAGTGTCTGTCTGTTGTATAGAATTTTTGAAGTATAGCCTCATTTTATAAAAATGTGAGGTACCTAAAATATACTGACCTGTTCAATTGAGCATGATCCCGACAGTGACACTGTGACAATGTTTTGTTTGTGACTATCGAAGGCACAGGTGATGACAGACAATGCATCCTGTTGAGAAAAATTTATGATATTTGACTGTTATTCATTCATGATTTTCTGTAGACCTTAATGGAAAGCTCTATCTAACAATTCAATTCATTTTTGAAAATATTTAGACCTAATTGCACAAGGTTACAGATGATAAACTTTCAAACTTAAACAAAAAAATTACTGAATGAAAACACAGAACAGTCTGGTACTCTTAACAGTATTATGCAGCCCACAAAATTAGGAAAAAATTAGGTTGGCAAAAATTTGCCGACCTCAAATTCTCCGAGGTCGGCAGTCTCTGCAATTGTTTACTACCTAGGCCTATATACATAGGCCGTATAAACTATGATTTTTCCGAACCTTACATCGTCATCTACAGATTGTGATTTTGTTAAATTTCTCTATTAAATTAATATATTGCTGGTGAAAGAATGGTCATACTTGTATTATTTAATAGTGTAGTATAATACATATGTATGAAGAAAATCGCTGAATAAATTTTGTTTTAGCAGTCGTTTTATCATGTTTTATCGTTATCTTTGGCATGGGAAATACCACTTTCGTAAAAGCTACGATCGTATCATCACAGGCTGCTTCAACTGCCCATGCATGTCCATGTGCATGCCAAGAATGATCTATCAGGGATTTTCCACACATGTACAGTACTTGTCGGTAGTGAAGTCATGATGCGATCGTGATTGCGTTTAAACGGATGGTAGGATTAGGCCTACAATATGTTGAATTTTGTTGTTTTTAGATAATAAACAACATTTTAAATATGATAATAATACTGTAAAATGAAGACAAATAATAGATTTAGATAAGTATTACGATCTACGCGGCCCACGTGGCTTCAATTGGGCGATGTTGTAGGCCTTGGCTGGCTAGCGTCATTCCTACCTAGTCCTAGCCTACGAAACGACTAGGCGAGAAAGACAAGACGCTTGTACACAAATCGTACGTATTGCATGCCTATTATAAATAATTATTGTACAAACAAATCTGAACCATCAATTTCCTTGGTTTGACGACGTACATGTAATTTAGTGTCTGCTATGGCCTGTTTCAGTCAAAGTTTTTGACTTTCCAAGCAGTTTTTGAAACAAAGATATATAGGCCTAGGTCGGCAAAAAATTGCCATCCTGTACAAATTCTGGCTTGGCAATATGGTCGGCAATTGCCGATTGCCAACGTGAAATTCATGGACTGATTATGCATAATCTCACCTTGCACTGTTTATCTGTTGGATCAAGAATTATTTTTCCTTCCTTATCAAGAGCTGATGTGATTGAGCAGACAAGATATTTCATTGGGATGCCAGCATCCATTAGAGCCAAGCATGAAGCATTTATACTACAGGACAAAAGCTGAAGACAGTGTTATAGGAAAGTACTGTAAAGCAATATGATACAGTATTATTTTAACAGGCATAAGAAGAAGAGTCCTCAAAAAATCTGAGGAATTGGCCACATACTTTTGAATTTATTTTATTATAACAAAGATGTCGTACACCATGATACCTATTGTAATTAGTGGTTGGCTCTAACCTCAAAAACAAGCTATACAGACAGGTATATGAGAGATATAATAATGATGTTGATGATGATGATAATGATATTGCTGATGACTAGGATGACAATAATGATGTTGAAACAATAACGGTACAGTATTGATTATGCATTCAGTGACAATGCTATGTATATCAGTGTTCTCCAGAAGCCATTGTAGCTGTCAATTTTACCAGTAAAAATAACTGACCAACCATTAAAAACTTATTAGGCAGGTAGCCTAGGCTGACCTTCTTTCAATAAACGAACAACATTCCAGTCCAGTCCAGGCTATGATTATGTATTATTGATTTTTGAAGCCATTTAACTCAACTTGAAAGTTGCAATACCCCACGTTGTGTGCGTTTACCAGCTCTACAGTATATGGGCAAATTTACCAGTAAAAATTTTTCAATTGGGAGAACACTGTATATGAATGTGTGTTATTATAGGTAAAGGTAAAGGTAAAAGGTGAAATACTGTGAAAACATTGATGACAAATATCAGCGGCGTAACCAGGGGGGTGCTCAAGGTGCCTGGGTAACCCCCTTTTGTACAAAAGTGAACAAATTATAATATTAATTGAAATAAATGGCAAACCATTAGTTACTGTACATGGATATACGCCATCTAGTTTTACGCAAGGTTCAGTGGCCATAATATTTCTATTCCCGAACCTCCACCCCTCCACCTTTTCAAAATCCTGGATATGCCACTGAATATTGAATGTACAGTGGTTAATGAAATGATGTACTGTACTTTTATATCTGTTATTAAAGGATACAGATCCAGAGTCTTGTACAACTTGAACGATTATGAGAATTGAAGTTCGTGGATGAAGAGTAGCTAAAATAGCTGAAGCACAGGAGTTTTGTATCAGTTGTTCTTGCGATTTCTCATAAACACCTTAGAAATAAGTAAATGTAAAATAAATATTAGAAATGTAAATTTTGTTAATATACAGTACAGTATATCCAGTCACCCCAATATTGTCAAGGGGTTAAGATAGTTAAAAAGAAAACTGCTGACAAGCAATTCAAAATTATGGTACATACTGTGTTATCTATCTTTATCATATACAACATACCAATTTGTGTGGCTGGTTTTGAGCACATAACAAAAAATTTTTAATACTGTGCGCATGTAAGAAAGAAAAAAATGAACAGATTGTGCGCAATGCACAGGGCAGTGTTATGGAGATTCCATTATCTTTCGATTATCAACGATCAATCATTAGTAAAACACTATTAAAAACACATTCCCAATTTATGCATAAAACTGTAGAAGTAAGTTGTGTCTAATATCAAGCATATTCAATTAATGAATTTTTACAAGTCTTTGATACAGCAGGTACTATTATTTTCTTCAATACAGAAAACAGAACACACTAATTCCCCGGCCGGCAGTGAGCCTATGCAGTTTTTGTTCTCGAATGCCTTTGATAGAACTAAAAAATGATGGAAGAAAATTTTATCCAATTAGATTGATTTTTATATATAACTGATCACAAGAACGTAAATTTGCTTTCCATTACTGCTTCAACCTAAGCAATCGGACTAGTGTAGGCAAAGTTATGACGTTGTAAAGAAATGACTCCTTATAAGCAAGCTCAAATCCCACTGAAAACACAAAAATATCTTCCATATTTTCGTAATTCAACCCCAAAACAACGGGGCCAAATATTTGAAAACAAATATTTTGTAAATTGTTTGCAATAGCTATATTTATAACCTTCTATAAACTATTTCAACCTAATTTATCCGACATCTAGTTTTTGAGTCGAAAATCAGTCAATGTTTTTGCAGTAAACTCAACTCGACAAATTTTATTTGTCACATGTACAATACACATAAAATGAAATTCGATGTGGTTCCTTAACACAAACAAACATAAAAAGACTAAAAACAAAACAAAAAAACAAAAAAAACTAGACCAAACAAATTGATATGTAGTATTTTTCCTAGAGGGCCCCTGATAGTTTGTAGTTATTATATGAAACAACATTAGTGTTTTAACAAAGAAGTTTGAGGCCACTGGATAAGGCTACTTTGGGCCCTACAACTTTGGTGGCTAAGAAAAGCATAGTACCTCGTTGCTAAGGGCGAACCCCCATCCACACTAGCATTTGATGTTTTAAGGGTGTATTTTGATGTTTTTTACACACTTTGCTCCTTAAGGGAGGGTGAATACAGGTGAATAAGGGACCTTGATAGGCTGATTTGGGGCGCATGTTCCTTGCTACAAAAAAAAGCTAATTGATATCCAAGGATCCAATAAGTTTCTGGCCCTTGGCTTTAGACAGTGAAGCTCACAGCTGTTTATGCCACTATTAATGTTCTATGACTATGTGACAAGCTCCACATCCAAAACTTAAAAAAATACTAGTTACTGATTTTGGAAGTTGTTTTCTCAAAACCTTAAATAGCTGCCATGGAATCAAATATTCATAACTTCACTAATAATACTCAACCAACTTTCATCAAATCAAACTGTTTTAAAGCATTCATGCTGAATTTACAAATACCAAAACATTTTAACTTTTTCCTACAAACGGTGGGTTTTTCCAAAGCCGCTCACAAAGGATTATAATGTGTAGTTTATTCTCTAAAAACCAGCAGAGGTGATAGATATACTATTGTAATGGTATAACAATAGACTAGTAGCAAGCCTTACCTGGTAAACCAACTTTAGGTTTGAAGACAACCTCCACCGTTGCTTTATCAATTATCTCTTTACTTTGTTTGACATCACCTGGTCCATATACAGCGGCCAGGACAGTTGTATCTCCTAAAAAATAATTATTGTGAATTGAATACTGTATGTTTAAATAATATTGAAATACTTTTAGTTATTATGTACCGTATTGTATGTCTTATTTGCTATATTGTATACTGAAATAATATATTATTATATATTATATATATACTGTCTCTTATACACATCTAGATGTGTATAAGAGACAGACTAAGTATCCACTGGAAAAAATCCCAATATCTGCAGACGGATCCGTTTCAGCCTTCCAGGCCTTATCACTGGAGCTAGGTTTAGAGACCAAGATAAAAAGTTTGACCAGCTTAGACAGGGCCCAGACTAGTTGTAGCCCCACTAATAAACACAGAGCCAAACCAAGGCAATATATACACAGCCCAGGTGTGAATGCAAATATTGGAACACAAGCTATGCGCCTACTCGATTATGCAATGTTATAGGACGGAAGACTCGGTTCCAGTAGATACAGAGAATATTTTGTCATTCTTAACGTGGCCTACGAAAATCTTACGAGACAGCACTCGTCCGTGAATTTGTCAACAAGATCGGAGATCTAAAGATACAATCTCTACTGTGCATCAATGGCGGCCGCTGGATCTCAAAAGAGATTCTTAAATAATATGTAATTTTAATAGGTAAATGGGATAATCCCATAAAAGCTTTTATTGAAACATTTATTTATTTTTTATTTATTTACATTTTTTTTACCCTGGGTAGCCCAAACAGTTGGAACAGTTTTCAAATAAATATCTAATAAGTCATTCCATATATATTTTAAAACTTGTGGAATAACTTTCGCTTTTCGAAAAAGGAACCTTCAACTTCATAATACAGTAGTTGACTACTGTATCTCATTGCACGAGCTTGCAATAACGGTGTGAAAAGGTTTGTCATGTATAAAGGTGTTAATCGGTTAATACATTTATAAACAAGTACAGTACAGGTTTTTTATACATGTACATAACCCTTTAAGAAAATGAAAAGCCAACTGAGTTGTGCAAACATATCTGCAGATGGGGTAAGAAAATCACATTTTAAAACTATCCTAGCTGCTCTTTTTATACACTTGTTAAGTAAGTTATTGTGGGATATGTAACGACCTCCCCATACAGTGCAGCAATAGTCCAAAGATGGCCTAACTAAGCTTACAAACAGAGTGTTTAGGCTTCTTTGGGGGACACAATTACCTATTCTACTTAACATACCCAGTTTGGATGAAACGTTTTCTTGACAAATTCAACATGTGGTGTCCAACTCAAAGTTTCGTCAATGATGACACCAAAACACTTACATGATTTCGTTCTAGCAATTACAGTATGGGCAAGAGTGACATTAAAGTCTACATTGGAAATTTTCTTTTTGGATCCAACGAGCATTGATTTAGTCTTGTTTGAATTCAGTGTTCTCCAAAGGATTTTTTAAGGTGTAATGGGAAAACGCGAGGTGACACCTCGTTGGGCGCATAATATTCCAAGGTGCCGCAGTTGTATTAATCCTGCTTTGAGGTCATAAAATTAATTACTAGGTCGAATAAAAAAAAATTGTTAGTTTATTACTCTCATGTATTCTATGGTACTCAAAACCAAAAAAAAATAATTTAAAAAAAAAAATATTTTTTTCATTTTTAAAAATTAAATAGTTAGTATATTGTTTGTACTATCTCAATCATGTTTTACTTGAATGTCAATGCACCAGCAAACAAACCAAGGGTGATGTCTGGCTTAAGCAAAATAAAATTTTTTTAAAAGTCAGCCTCCCCTCCCTCATCACTTTTCCACCCTAGATATGGTGATAAACTAATAAAAATATATAGGGCCTCCCCAGCCAGAATATTACAATTATTTTTTAAGGTATTTTATTTTTAATTGTACTAATAATTAATAATAAAATGTTATTTACATAGCAAAGTATATGCACATTGCTTGAGGGGTGTATCTATCGGCCGATGGGTGGATAGCCGTATTTTCCACTTTTTCACCCGTCTGCATCTGCCGTGTGGATAAATGTTTATCTTATCACCTGGCGGATGGCCGAATATCCTGTTTGCCACTGCAGGAGGCCACCCCATTATTACTAATACTATAGGCCTAGGCCTAACCCTAGTCTATACTAGACTAGAAGCTAGTTCCAGGTCAAGTAAGGTAGGACTACACTGGACTGCCTGCAGATGTGCATAGGCCTTGCTTAGCAGAATCTCCTCAGCCTCAGCTGAGTCAGTCAGTCAGACCGCCCCCCCCCATCAGCCGAAGTAGCTAGCCCTAGCTAGGGCGCGGCCTAGGCTAGGCCCTAGCCTGGCCTGGTGGTGGTAGTGGTAGTGGGCCTCGGTCCTACTAAATACCACACGGAACCACTCGCGACCACACGGGACCACTCACGACCACACGGGTGCAAAAATGATAAAAATATTACCACACGAGAGTAGAAAACTACTTAATAATCAATAGAAACCAACTTTTAGTACGGTAATTATCCAAAATATGGTAAAAATGATTTTTTTTTTACAGGTTTTTCCACCGTGCTTCGGAAGGTAATGCGGTGACATTGAGGTTCTGTAACGCATTTACGGCTCCAGAAACGCGTTCACCCTTGACCTCTACAACATTCACTACGTACAGTACGGTACGTTACATTTCATCCTGCGTGTATGCCTATTGTATGTATAGGCCTATTATTCTACTATAACTGTATTTATTACTTATGTGTTTTTGACTCTTATTATTTTAATTTTTCTTATTTGTATTGATCCTGTAGTTATGTTATGTTTTAGCCCAGAGACAAATCTAGTTAACTTCTTATGAATAATGTTTTTAAAGATGGTACAATTGAGATGTTTTCTATGAAAATAAATAAATAAATGGCAGTAGTACCGCTTTTTGTGTTTCAATGTTAGTAATGGATATAAATGGTAGATAAATAAGAGCACAACACATCATTTTAGAAAAAATAACAAAGGTTAAAAGTAGTGACATTAATAAGTTTATTACTAAACGAATATCTCGGTCGTTCCTGCAATAAACCT